GTTATTTATTTATATCTTATGTGTGTTTATATATGTATTTATATGTGTATATATGTGTACATACACATATGTGTATGTACACATACACAATGTGTATATATATTTGGTTAAAACATTCTTACTTAATGAAAAAAAAAAAAACGTCCTGAAACAGTATCAGTTTAGCTGCTGGCAGCGTAATGATTATTGGATGAAAACATTTCTAAATACTGTCTCAACATTTCAAAAGAAAAAGTTCTGGTTTTCTGAGTCAAAACAACTTACGTTTCAAAATGTTAGTGTAATTATCCCAAAGATTAAAAAAAAGAAAAAGGTATTATTAAAAAAGTATTTCAAAATTACAGAAAAAAAATATTTTCATTGCCCCGAAGTTAAGTCTTTTATTGGCTTTTTGATGTGTGGACTATTTCTAAAATTTAAAAATTTTATTCTGGACAGAGATGCTTTATTGTCTCTCAAACATTTTCTTGGCCTGGGAAAATAATTTCAAGCCTGGCTTGAGTCAGAACCAGGAAACAAGAAGAGTACTAAAACATTATAAAAAATTATGCCAATAGCTAAGCAGCACATTAAGACCAGGTGATTAAAATTGCAGGGGAGCAAACTGACCCAGCATAGGTAGAAACACTATAAAGATGGTTTTAACTGTGGTGTCTGGTGAAAAGCAAGGTTTCCCAAAATAACGCCTGGATAACCTGTCCCCATAAGATGACCAGCACCACACAATAATAAAGAAGCAGGGATGACTTTGTTAGGGTAGACAAGCACTTGAATTTATTCTTACGAGTAAAACATCATTCCTGAATATTTGGAGCAGGGACCAGGGCTGCTTGCTGCTCTCCCAGGGCTATCTGGCATGAGCAACAGCAGGCTGTGCTGGTGGAGTAGCAGCCCTCAGCTCTGGAGAGAAGTGTGACCCACAAGTTGCTGAGACAGCAGCTTGGAGGGCACCTTGCACTAGGGACTCCCTTTTCCCTCAAGCCTCCCAGTTATGTGGAGGGAGCCCTGTAGTCCTCAGCCATGTGAAGGTTTTTGACATGCAGCTTGGAAGATGAGAAACTGCTGGAAAACATGTTTCACCATACCAATTTGCTCTCATAGATATAGCTCCCCCATGCCACTGCTGTGGACTCACAGACCCTTGAAGGTTGGGTTAGCATGCTTGAAGGCATCATAGTATGATGGGGCACTTCCAGCTACCACATGTTATGTTTCTCCTTGCATTGCAGTTCTGTGTATAGTAATCACCACTGAAACCTTATAATCTTTATCTTGAAGTAATTACCACTACACTTCAGCAGCAGTCTCATTTAGCACATATGATGTATTTGCCTCTGGTGAAATAATTATATCATTGCAGTAGGAAAAAAAAAAGAAAAGTATTTTCACTGAGGCAATGGGTGCCCATTAATGTCCTTTCAGAATATGCATTAAAAAAGAGAAAGACCCTTTTATTTCCAGTCCTTACTGCTCTGGTGTTTCTGGGCATTATTGGTCCTAAGAACAAATACAAACCAATGTATTTTGTGGTTTTAGGGTTTGATGAGAACCTGGACGTCCAGGGAGAGCTGATTCTTCAGGATTCCTTCCAAGTGTGGGATCCCAAGTCTCTCATTCGGAAAGGCCGTGAGAGGCATTTGTTTCTCTTTGAAATCTCTTTGGTGTTTAGCAAAGAGATCAAAGATTCTTCAGGACACACAAAATACGTTTACAAGAACAAGTTACTGGTAGGTGTGGCTGCAAAGAAAATATTCTGGGTGTTATGTTTCTTCTGTAGGTAGAGGTGGAGTTTGGGGGATGGCTCACATGTCCCCATGATGGGTTGGGGATACTCATGCCACATGGAAGGGCTGGCTCTGGGCCCTGCGGGGCTCACCTGGAAGCTGAGCTCGCAATGAGTCTTGAAGTTTGAGATAATGAGATGTGAAGAGTGAGTGGGAAATGCAAGGAGGATCACTTGAGCCATTCACTTCCTTGCCATACCCTGGTGGTTTTCTGTTTCTTTTATCTGTGTGTAGCAAAGCAGAGACAAGATCTCACTCCCCTATCCATCCCTGCCTCCCCACTTCTCCCTACAAATGTAAAGTTTTCCGGACTCATGAGGCTTCATATATATGAAATCTCTCATCATCTCTCCTCCACACTAGACCTCAGAACTGGGAGTGACTGAACATGTTGAAGGAGATCCCTGTAAATTTGCTTTGTGGTCTGGACGAACACCATCCTCAGACAATAAAACAGTGCTGAAAGTAAGTCTTTTCTGCTTGTTTTCTTTGCCTTTAGAGCTGCTAGTTGAGGCCTTGGGAGCACTAAATGAAAGGTCAGTTTCTTCCCTCCTCATATTCGCATGGCTTCCATGTCTGTCAGCGGGGTCATGCCTGCATCAGGAGCAATTCAGCTCTAAGGCCTCAGTACGAATCAAGACAGTGCAGTTGTGCAGCCTTGCTGAAATTGCATCTCCTCTTGCAACCTGGGTTGAGCAGCTGCACACTGACACAGGGCACGTCTGAGGGTGTTTGGCTGGGAAGTGTAATTCTCTTAGTCCTTTGCCACTGAGCTTATTGACACTCAACCTATTCCTCAAACCTCCAGAGCTGACAGCCATTTCTGTCAAGTGAGTTTTTAAGGAAGAATTCATGTTACAGTTATTTTGTCTGAGGAAATCCCAGCTGTGCACTGATAACCTATTTCCCCTCCACAGAGCATGCTGTATTGCTAGCATTAAATATATTTATCCAGAGCTTAGCTGCTTTACTGTTGCTTGCCAAGTAGGTCTGGTAAAAACACCTCAGTTCTCCTGGGTTAACCAGGTACTCCAGCAGCTAAAACAATACAGCAGGAAGGAGAAACAATTAATCATGCATTTTCATCAGCCAACCACAATTCTTCTACATAGGAGGTGACATGCTGGGAGTATGATAAAGTGTCTGTCTTTCTGCCCTGTGAACTTTAGGCATCCAGTATTGAAACAAAACAGGAATGGATCAAAAATATCCGGGAAGTCATTCAAGAAAGGATTATCCATCTGAAAGGAGCCCTGAAAGAGCCAATTCAGCTCCCCAAGACACCAGCAAAGCAGCGAAACAACAGTAGAAGGTAACCTCAGTCATTCCATACAATGCAAAATCACTAGCATTTTCTTGACCAACAGCAGTGTAGTGTCTGTGGGCTTTTGACTGGATTCACTTACTTTTTCTTACTATAGTCAAAAGCAGTTTTCATCATCTTTGTTTTTTACATGTTTTCTTGGGAAAAGTAGCTAGAAAGCTTTTTATGATACACATACAAAGGTCTTTTATTTTAGTACTCCGAAGTATCGGAGAGAAATGAACAGTAAAAATTCTTCAGAGTCCAAGGTTATGTTTCTTTCCCAAAGCAGAATTTACTTCTTCACATTTGAGTATTAACGGATTTTTTTTTCCCTGTTTGGCATTTTGAATTGTTTGACAATGAAAATCACAGCTGGTCATGATGATATATTACTACAGTGGAGAATCTGCTTCGTCATCAAATACAAACTCATTTCAGCCTGTGAAGTAATATTAAATTTTTTTGTCCACTTCTTTGAATCCTGGATTAAATAGGAATTATAGAAAATGAATTGTTCTTTTGCTGTCGTGCTGGCATTCCCCAAAGCCACCTGTAATTTGAGCATCTCCATTTCCTCATCAAGTCTTATCACTCTCTTACTCCGGCCTGTATTATAGAGGCATCCAAATCATGAGTAACCAAGGTCACCCAGGAGATCTGCAGCAAGGCAGAGATCCAGATATTTCTTACTAGGGACATGCACCAATACAAGAATTTTCTAGTACAGAATGGGGATCTTAATTTTTTTCTTTCTTTGTCCTTAAATACGTGTTTTGTACTATTCAACTGTTTATTTTGAAAGACCAGTAAAAATTTAGAACTATATGTATACAGCAAAAGGGAAGAAAATACCTTCTGTTAGCAGACTCATAGACGTAGACTTGTAGAGCTCTACACTGTCTTTTTTTTTGTTTGTTTGTTTGGATATTGTTTTATGGCTTAGTATTAAATTACTGAAAATGTGGTTCCTGTGAGACAAGAGACATACCCCTTCCTTCAGTGTCACGTGTAGCCTGGGCTGAATGGTTTTGGTTAAGACAGAAATCTAATTGAAGAAAAATTTCTGCCTGACACCCTCATTACAGAACTGTTTCTGAACACCAGAGTCTTCTATGCTGTAAATACGCAGGCAACGGCCATCCTGTTTCCAGCAACAAACAGTGTGATTATGTGCTAATCCCAACCCTATGGCTGAGGGTGACATCATTTTAAATTGCAAGCTACATAGCAATATGGGCTGCATCAGTGAGGTAATTTTAGCACAAAGCCAGCTCTGGAACACTGACTCGGCACTTCTCAAATCCACCTATAAAGTTGTGCACATTCCAATATGGTGTGTTAAGTAAGCATTGTTGTTTTCCTATTATGTCTTTTGCAGAGATGGAGTAGATGATGCAGACAGCCAAGGAGATGGCAGTAGTCAACCTGACACCATTTCCATTGCATCCAGGACATCACAGAACACAGTGGACAGTGATAAGGTAGGACTGAAATGTGAAAATATACCACAGTTAATTGTCCCCAGGAAAATCTAAGTGAACAGCAGAATAGAAGGCATATTATTAAGCAACCTGCCTTCTACTGAGTGAGTTGAAACTTGTATTCCCCTATGCTAGGCTATTAAAATCCAGGTTTCTAGGTGCTCATCAGTACTGCTGTTTTACATGGTAACATCTCTGTTGCTGCAGCTTGTTTGTAGTTAAAACACAGAGGTTGAATAGGCTCTGAAGAAACACAGCCCAGAGCAACCTTTTCTTCCCTAGTAGAACGTGCCCTGTGGAAGCCAGCTTCTGAATCAGCGAACAGTTGGTTATGTTCCATATTTGCCCTCTGAGTTAAAATCACTAGTTTGTTGAAGGGAATACAGGTGCTTACACACCAATTAATACAGCAAAATTGGGATCCTGGCTGGTATCTTGAGAGCCTGGGAGACCTACCCTTTCCAGAGACTGTGATTCTGGACCCCTCTCCTCATGGACATATGGTGGAGCGTGTGGATGGCCCCGAGACGCGCTAGATTCTGTTGGAATGCTGCACGCTGTCGGCACGTATGTACTCGTCATTTTACTTATCAGACGATCTGAGTCCAGATTCCTACTTCCACTAGGATGCCTGACTTGAATTTCTCACCCTGATACCTCCAACTGCAGTCTTCAGCTCAATTAGCAGCTGGTGGTAGAAGTAAATGGGTTGTTAGTAATAATTCACCTTAGCTACACTGATGGGGTTTGTCATATCCACTGAGAGAATGTCCGTATTCTCTTCATGTGTGGTTTTGAAACCATCTGTAACTTGCAAAAGGATGAATTCTGCAGAACCATTCTGGATTTATCTGTTTGTCAGGGCTTTAATTATGCTGCCACTTACACAAGGTAGGAAGGTGTCTTCACAAAATCAGAATTCAAGTTTATGGTTGTAAAGTTCACAAGTGAGGTTCAGTATAGAGGTTATTTTGAAAGCTGGACTCAGAAATAGGAGTTAATTGCAAATAAATTACCTTTTTAAGACCACCTGTTGTATTTATCTTAAAGGCATGTTCCCGTGCTTTTGCTTTTTTTGAACAATAATGTGCATTAGAAAAGTCTTAATCCTCACAATCCAAAGGCCACTGTAATGTATGCAAATACTTTGCCCAATGCCAAAGAAGTACTTTCTTATGTCTTCAATCTACATGGACTCACCCTGCTTTTCCATGCTTTTCACATTTATCATTCCTGAGAAAGGTCCTGACTTAGTAGAGTACTTGAGCTCATGCTTAATTTTAAGCATTCGCATAAGCTTTGCTCGTTTGCCCCAAGCCCATTGACTAAGTTGCATGAGGCAAGATCTAGATAAGATGCTCCATATTGCATGCTGTAGCTGTATACAAGATCTATAGAGCCAACAGCACAGGAAACGATCTGGCTGTACCGTGAAAGACAGCCCATCATGGCAACAGTTGGTTTAAGGATGCAAGACTGGAAAGGATTGTAGGAATTTCTATCCAAAACCTTGTTTGAACTGAATGGCGAATGTGTATGAGATAAATTGAGCACCAAATCGTACAGGGAAAAATTTGTTACCACTGGGGAAATCAGTGGTAACAGTGGTAAATCAGTTCTAGGATTGTGTCATGTTTTTTACTTTTTTTAGGGTGGGTAGGCTCACTTGCTGACTTAAGGCTATCTGTGTGTTCGTGTGTCCTTATATACATTTACTGAATAGAAACAAATTCCAGTGTACAGCTAAAGCTTAAATATACTTGTATGTGCTTTGTTGAATCTGAGCAACTGGTGTATCGTCCTTATCTGAAGAGTTTCCTTATTGTCACTGATGCTAATGCCAGAATACTGTGGAGAATATAGCCCCCAGAGTGCTGCATTATTGTGTCTTTGCTCCAAGGAAGATGAATGCCCCGCATCGCTTTGTGGTTCTCTCTCAGTTTTTCTACACAATGTTACCCAAATTAATGACAGATGGAGCTGAGTTGTCTTACTTCCCATTGAAGCAGCATGGAGGCACACCTGCGTTCAGTCTCAGTTCAGGTGTCTCTTCTCATGCTGCTTGCCTGAAGCCCTCAGCAGGTGTTAGCATCTGCTGTGAGGGGATTCTGTGTTAGCAGATCCCAAAGCTGTGCAAGGACCTAACAAGACACAAGACTCCTAGTGGTGACATTTCACCACATGGGAACATTCACTGTCATTCCAAGTTATTTTGCTCTCCAACTTCAAAATGGGATTTTTTCCTCCAGTGTGTAGTTGAGCTTATCTTCCGGGACGGTCTGAGTGAATCTCGTTGGACTGGGAAGATTTATCTTCTCCCATAGACTGGTACTGAGTTACCGGCACTGGAAGGCTGTACCATATCATGCTTTCTAGTTAAGGTTTCTTGGCACAGTTGATAGTGCTTGGTAAACACTGTAACATACATGGTATAATTAACTCACAGGGTACTGATAACAGCACCGATAGGTAATGTCTTCAGCAAAGAGTGGTTTCCCTGCCTATTTAACTTCAGCATAGTCAGCAGAGTTATTCCCAGGAGTTCAGATTCAGGGTCTGAGTTTTTTCACAGCTGTAGTCTCCGTGGGTGACCTCTTTGTGTGCCCTGGTGAGATCTCCATCCAGAGAAGCCAGGAGAAAGAGCTCCTACCTTTAAAAACTCTGGCTGTTCACAGCAGCCTCATTTACAAACACATGCAAAGAGCTTTGCAGCGCTTGCAGTGTGCCAGGGTGGCAGCAGATTAATCCTGCACTGGGACCATCTGTGTATTAACTCAGTGCCAGAAATAATTCTCAAGTAACATTTAAGAGCTGATATTACTCTCTGAAGGCAAAAGAATTCAAAGATTTACCTGACACACTTTGTCCTTTCCCTAAATCTTGCTATTACACCCAAGGATTAACTAACACATTAGTTAAATGTTCACACAAGAATGCCAAACAACATTTTAGACAAAGAAAACCACGACCTCTCAAATATTCCCAATTTCAAGTAGCACTTCTGCTTAATAACATTCCTTATGCCTCAAGTCATATGTATTTCTTTCAACTTATTTGTGAGCCAACTCCTTCTGGGTTGAGAGTAGCGATTTCTGTCTCCTCTCTTGTTATGGTGCAGCCCTAGAGCAAAGCTTTACCTTTGCATTTCAAACTTCTAAAAAGGCAGAAGGTTTTTTGTTGTTAAGTGGGAATGAGATAACATTACTCTAAATTCAGCAAGGATTTTATTTTCTCTCAAGACAGCTGAACCTAGCCATAACATTTATCAGGGGGACCATTTGGTGCAGAGGATAGAGCACTTGACTGAGGGCCAGAAGAGCTGAGTCCTAGTTCCGCTCTGTCACTCACATGTTGGATGCCATCACAAATTACATCTGATGGCACATTGCACTTGTCTTTTTTTTTTCTTGTTTGGATTAGGAATTTGCGGGGGAGACAGGAATTCTTGCAAACGTTACATTTGTACATTAATTATAGCATTGTCCTGTGTTGTCCCAACACAGGATACAGACCCAAATTCAGAGCTGCTTTTGTATATTGAAGGAAATTCACAGCAATCTTTATGGCAGCAGACTCTACTTTGAAAATATTCTTAATTGTATGCTTGACTCCAGAAGTGTTGCTAAGTCTTTAAATATTGAGGCTTTCCTGGCTGCAGGCAGTGGTCAGGTGATTATATGAGACTCTTCAGATTAAAAAAAAAAAACAAAAACAGTCCAAGTCTGTTTAAAAAAAAAAAAAGAGAGATTACTTCTGTCTTTTAAATTAAATACCTGTTTAAGTAGCTTCTTAAAGCTGGATCTTAGTCCTTAATATCTTTAATTTTCTTGGATTTTTCTCTCTCAAAAATAGATAAAGCAATTATCCCTGGACTCAAACATTTCATTTTCATTAAATACTATATAGTAGACACACAGACTTAAAGTAAGGTCTGTAGGTCTGCACCTTTGTAAAAGGGAAGAAAGAGAGAACATGTAAAATGTTTATTTTTCCATTTGCAATCTATAACTTTTTCTATATGCAATCTATAATCCAAAATATTTCATACACGGAAAAGGAACTATTTGGATTGTCATTTGGTATTATGTAAGTATTATATAGAGGAGAAAAAGTGGGTTCATGAACCAGACTCAGTGCTAACGAATCAATAGATACGCTTACAGTAAGTGTAATTCCCATTGAGCATCCAAGTCAGGTCCTAGGTAACCTACTATGCAAAATTTCTTCATTCTTTTCCAAAAGGCAAACTAGAAGGCTTTTGTTCTATACAGTAAGCCCTCTTCAGGATGCTGTCTAAAAAACCTCTCCTTAGGGAGAAATCCTTGCCCTGTTCAATTCATGGCAGACAGGATTTCAGTCTTTATATTTGGATTCAAAGCAGTGAGGAATTGCATAAAGAAAATGCTAGCATGCAGGGCATTCTCATTTGTTAAGCCCATTGATCTATTGGCTTGTAAAACAGCTGTTTCTGGCGATACTGGTCCATCTTGTAATGGCTTTTTTTTTTGTTGCCTTTTGGAGAATGCTGAGCAGAGCAGTTCTCATTTCCTCCTGTTGTTTTTGGATGTGGAATAAAGCTCTGAAATGTGAATGGAAAAGTTTTTACTCTCTAAAAATAAATATACACAATATACTTTTATCTTTTCCATTAGAAACTGGACTCAGCTCATCTTTCAGCAGTCATGAGACTGCGATCTTGACCTCTTCCACATCGGTGGTATTATATAAAATCTGGGAATAATCATTTTTCTAATTGAAGGTAATTGGTGTAAGAGGGGAGATTTTAGGATTAAGGCTTGTTGGAACAAGTCACCTAGGGGTGATTCTCTTCTCTTGAAAGGCTTCTAATCAAGGTAAAATAGCTTTCTCCCTGTGATATTGTTACTGAAGCAGAAGTTAGGATCTGATCCAGGAAGTACTGCTTCAGATTCTTTGTTAGGAAGAATTCTCAGTTCCTTGGAAGTTTCCTTTCCAAGTAACACAGATATGAGGAATGCCTC